CCCCAAAACCCCAAAACCCCTGGCTGCTTAAGAGTTTACAAATGAGAGTTTAATTTTTTCTGGGAAAATAAATTCTTTAATTTAAACATTAAAATTAATGGTTAATGAGACCTTATTAAGCAAGTCATAATTAACTAATTAATTAATAATTTAATTAGTCAACAAACTTTAGTACCAGGCTTTCAGCAAATCAGCAGTACCGATAAAAATGGAAGGAAACAACACAGCAAACACAGGAGCAACAGGAGACAAGCCAGCAGGAGCAGATCCTCACATTAACATCAAAGTCAAGGCTTAGGATGGCACAGAGATCTTCTTTAAGATTAAAAGAACGACTTAACTCAAGAAACTCATGGATGCCTATTGCACTCGCCAAGGATTGGCAGTCAACCAATGCAGGTTTATTTTCGACGGAGAGAGGCTTAAGGATGATGATACTCCAGACAAGCTAGAGATGGAAAATGGGGATGAGATCGATGTCATGGTCGAACAAACAGGGGGATTCAGCATCCAAGCTAATCTATAATCGTGATCCTAAGAGATTGATAGTGAGTTTGACTCTCGAAGCTAATTGGAGAGGGCAATGGGTCTTACTCTGAATCTATCACTCAAACTCTGGAGTTATTCTTCAGATTTGATGTGATTGGGTTCTTTGAAGGATCTGAAACCAAGCCTTGAAGTTAGAAGTTGACTCAATTTAATGAATTAAGTGTTATATTTTAGTTTTTATATTAAGAATTACTTAGATAATTGTAAGCTTAATTTGATCATTCATTGTATTATAGCAAATTTCTTAATCACTCAATAGCATATCTTTAACCTTAAAAGGTGATTAAACTCAAAACATGTCATATATCTTTATGTTTTACTCATTTTTTTACTGTTAAGGATCGAAATTGTTTAAGTTTTATAGATTAGACAGAATAATATTCTGGGGCTGTTCCACATTTAAATGCATTTCTCCTCTTTACTTAATATAATCTGTAAGATTCAAATCAATTTTATTAGCATCATAAGCATAGCCATGATCATTAATATCATAGTCTTAGTTGGCATACTAGGGTATTTAGATCTTTTAACTTTGGAATACATTCTAATCTCTTTATCTATTATTACTATCATGGCCAAATTCATTCAACTAAAATTAAGGTACTTCTCTAATGTCTTTATAACCTAGATTTTGTCTGTGATTACTGAAAGCTGATCTACTATTAGTAGGGTCTGGCCTCATATCATTATAATTAAGATAGTTTGCTGATTACAACTAAGAGATACCTCTCTAATTCTGGAGATCATTAATATCAATTGCATCTATACTTTGCAACACATTGACTCTGGCATTGTAATTATCATTTATTTCTAAAATTTCTTTGTCGTATTTATCATTTTAGTCCTCTAATATTTCATTTTTGATCTGTGATCTATCTAAGTTCTTTCTTAATATCGAGATTTCTTCTGATGCTTTCTATTATATCACTATTTAATGTGAAACAGGCCTTAAATGGTCATATACTAGCTAGCCAGATTTTTAATCTCGAAATGTTGGTTTCTTTTTTTTCATCTTAGGGTCCATATATGGCAGTCTACCATTTTTTACTTAATCCTGGTATTGCTCATCCAAAATCATGGCTTCTCTTATAGGGTTAAGTTCACCCTTAAATTGATACATGTCATCTTCTATCCTTATAATTGGGAAGTAATCCTTTCCAATCATACTTTGACTCATATTCTCATTTGTATCATCAAACTGATTTAAGTTATTAAACCCTAGTAAGTTATTCTAAAATCCAAGATTATTATTGTTTGCATCATTATTAATTCGGAGTCTATCTCTCTGATTAGCTCTTGACTTTGCTCTAAAATCAGTAATTCTTTGCTATATGATAAGATCCCCAGTTTAATCGAAATCTGACTCAAACATTAGATATTTCTTTTCAATCTGATATCTGATCTTATCATCTCTATGTCTAATCATAAGCTTAACTGACTCAATGCCTTCGATCACCTTCGAGGGTAGGATAACTGCCCAGTTGATAATAATGGCTAGCACTACTATAGTAATCATTAGATAGCCATAGAGATTGGCTTCTTTTTCAGGCATTGCAGCATCTAAAAACAAAATCATAATACAGCCACAAAGGAGCAAGACCAATTCATTGAATATATTGAAGAAATTCAGCATATTGCTTTCATATGGTTGGAGAATGAGATGCCAAAGAAGAATGAATGAGCTACTTCCAATATATACCATCAATTGCGCCCTCGGATAATCTTTAGCTACAACTAATGATATCGCCAGAACCGCTCTTCTCACTAAAAAGGTCCACAGGTATAAATAATGGTATGGCTTTTTTAACTTAATTTCTCCATTAAGGATTAAAGCTCCCCAGGTATGCTAAAATCTCTTATGAGATAGAAAGTGTCTCTAAATAATCACAAATACAACTGAAAATACAATCAAGAATAAACTAATAGCAATGAAAATATAAGAGCCATAGAAACTCATCTTATCAGCCGAGTTAACTGGACTTGTATAGAAAACATCAACCAAAGATACAATCAGCATCGTCAGATATATCTATTGAAAAGTCTTAATTATACCATTGAAATGAAACGAGTTCTCAATTTCTATGAAAGTTTTGCAGATTGGGCCTAAATGTGAGAACATGTATTTAGCAAAGACAATAAATGGGTAAACCCCAATTAATAGCACCCACATGAATAATTGATCAGGTGAGTTCATAAACATATTTTTAGACCCGAAGCCTACATTGTTAAAGTTATCATTGAGCGGTTCTTAATCAGAGAAATCAGAGTCTGTATAGAAAAATGCTTTAAATAAGCCCGACAAAAATTCATTGTTTACATTCACAAAAGCAAGATTTTTAAACATTTGGATAGTATTTGAAGGGAAATAAAGGTTCATTAAGGGTAAGATAGAGCATATTTGCATCATATATGAGAGACAAAAGAGCGCTTCAACTGAGCCTCCAGCCACAACTTGAATAACTAAACTTACTGCTAAGCTGATCATGGATGACTACTAAGCAAGCCCACCAGCCTGCTAAGTTGTTTGCTTGTCGTCCACTGATAGGAAAGAAAACGAGTAGGTCTGAATCTCTAGATTTCCTGGCCCTCCAAAGGGAATCCCATCAGCATCTTTAAATAATGGCAGATCGCTAAAAATGATCTTTACTTTTTCAATTCCATAAAGAGTTGATTATACGCCAAGTGTAAAGGTCACTATCTTTGAATATTTAGCCTTCATAAAGCTATTTTCATCCAGACTGTACGATATTATATAAGATTCTCTTGGTCCAGTGATAATTATCTAAAATTTCGAAGAGAGGTCTTCATAATCTAAGGAATGGGTGAGTGGTCTTGTAAACTTTATTTTTAATGAGCTCATATCTATAGCAAGATTTTCAATGGATGCGAAGACCATATCTGTACAAGTGTAACCATCGATGGAGTATTTCCCAGCTCCACAGTCTAAATTGAGATTAACATAAAATTACACTTACACAAGCAACTATTGGTACTGAAGCTATAATAATAAACCTTGCTATATTGCTGGCATGAAGAAAAACAGCATACTCCTGTCCCACATAAATCTTTGTCAGTTACTGGAATATAGCCACTTTCACAGGCATAGCAATTTGTATAATTACTACCATCGCATCCGTAGCACGATTAATGGCACTGCAAACATGATTATGAATCGCTTGCCAGATAATAATCTGAGTAAGTGCACTTGCATTAATAGGATGTCGAATCAATCTCTGCCCCAGTTTTGCAAACTTGACAATCAGTGACACTTCCCCCAAGACAAATTTCACAGAGATCATTGCGGCATTTCTCTGTGCACATTTCATCATATTTATTGAAGTCACATGGTGAAAAGCACATCTTTCCCTAGTTAGCCATCCCATTATATTTATCACATAAAGCACAATACCCAAGAAATATCTTATCATTATTTGGGTTAAATGCCTCACAGTCCCCTTTGGTTTCAACTGACTGCTCTAAATCCTCGCTTATCAATCCAATTAGTGGACTGTAGTTCATCACATTAAGAGCTTTGGCATAATTCCAGATATACATGGTTCTTATAGCCCCTGTGAAGGATTTGCCCCCAATATACCAGGATTGAGACTAACTATGCTTATTCATTTAGCATAGTAGCACTTGGCATTGAGCAGTCACTGACCAGCCTCTTTTATAGACACATACATTAGTTGAGTAGTCTGAGAATTCTGAAGCACTTACTGAGATGTATAACCACTCCTTCAAATCTTATAATGGGTCGATGAAGTTAGTGAACCAAGTTTTACAGAATTATTTATTGTTGGTGTTATTTATAAAGAAATAGGCTGAGTTGTTTTGGGCTAGGGAAAACCCATAGTAATGCTAGCCACTCTAAAATGTCTGGTTTGTGTAGTAGTACTAAATGTATGTCTAAAGTTAAATCATTAAAGCATAAATCAATCTTACCTTTGTGAAAATGTAGTATTCATCATCTGCAATAGGCTGATCCATTCTTAAATAGAAGTCAAATGTAAAGTCCTTGTCTAAGTCTAGTGTCTTCATCATTTTCAAATAAGAATTCTTGACAAAGTAGAGCCCGTAGTATACCGTTCTGGATATTTATTTAATAATATTAATTACCTAGATGGATCTCTATCATCTTTGGAAGTTGAATCTATTCCTCTCTACAAATGATAAGAAGCAGATGGCCCATAGTCTTTTATAATTTGCTTATTGGTAGCAGCATCTTGATAGTTGTCAAATGAATACTTAGCAACTAGTAACTAACTGGGGGTAGTCAAATCATCATACACCAGACACTAATTTGAATCCTAAGCTCTGCAAAGATCACAAGACTCATAGTTAGAATTTGCCATACAGTAATCTATTTACAACTTTATAATTTAGAATTGAAACATACAACTCATAAAAGAATCAAGCTGCGCTAGAGTCTAGACTGAATTGAACAGTTTAAGTTGAATCATATAGCCATTGAATCCTTAATTGATCTCTTCTCTATTTGTTGTTAAGTTGTATATTGGTCTTCCTCCAAAATATGTCATGTAGTTATCATCGTCAGTGTATTGCAAGTCAAATAGAACAGGATCTGTGTAATGTCTCCATCTTCCATTATAAGCAATAATCCTCATTTAAGTTTTAATGTTTCCTGCATAACTCTCTGTCGTGTCCTGCAGTTATATAGCAAGCATTGTCCAGCCACCTAGATAGTGTTCATTAAAATTTCATCTTACTATCGACGGGCGTGTCAGTTTGCAACTACTAGTGGAACAACTCTCCCCAGTAGTAGCCGTCTTTGATAAACACACAAAATTTGGGTCGGTGATACTTATTGATAATCAGACTTTTGCAATAAATGTGCTAAAGCTCATTTTAATTCAGAACATATAGCCATAAAACTACAGTAGAGGGAGAAGCTAGCTAAAAGGTTGAGAGAGCCGTTCCTGAAACCTCAATTTTTAGATAGTTCTTGGCATTCCCATGAAACTCATAGCCAAACTTGTCTGCTGCAGTGTATACAGCTAAATTTATTCAGATTTAACAAAGTCATAGAATTATACACAAAATTTTCAAAGGATATGTATTTATGGTCCCAGTTGAAGTGAATGATACCGGGTTGTTTCCTCTTAGATCAAAATCATAAGTTTATGCTAATATCATACTCATGAAGAGAGATATCAGCAAACTAAGCCATTGAAAATTAAGATAATATCTCATTATTTATAATTCATTTTTATCCATTATTTTTATATCAGCGGGGTTTTGGGGTTTTGGGGTTTTGGGG